GAAAACTTTACTGCAAATCAAGGAACTGAGGACAGGATTAATATCAGCGAGAGTGTTGCAGCGTCCAATGAAAGTGGCTGTAACGAAAGAGTCGTAAAAAGGGCTGACATAAGACATTCATCTGAGGTGTGTAATAATACTTCTAACACTTTATCGGTAAAGTTAGACATGTTATTATGATAACACATCAGTAGAATTGTGTATCAAGTAAGGTGGGTGTTGGCCTAGTTCTCAGTCAAAAAAAGTGGCTGTATGTACTTGATGTACACAGTACCGTGTTGTTTGCTAACGGAATGCTTAGACGAGGTTAGGGCCTTGGGACTGACGAGGAACTGCGAACTGGTACTGTACCATACAGAGTTTGCATGCAAATAATTTTATATTTGCAAAAAGTTTTATTAAATTTTTTTTTTTTGTCTGGTGTTTCCCCGCAGGAGCAGAACAATGAAAAACGAGCAACGAGGAATCTCTCCTTGCGTTCTAGACTCAAACAGCTTCGTTTTATCGGTCGCATGGTCGGGTTTTCCATTTTTGAAAATTTGTTACTGGATCTTCATCTCTCCAAACCATTCGTGAAGCAGGTGACCTTTCGGTCTGTCTTTACATATTACTGTCTGTCATTCAGCTGTTTAGATTCGTACTCACCTTACGAACTATTATAATGTTCATGATACCGATCGTGACAATAGTAATAATAACGGTGGTAACAGAAGCAGTGACATTAATCATGATAATAATTACTAGGATAGTAATACGTGTAAGACGATGAAACTAGTGATGAGTATGATAATGATGATGATTCAGTGATATGCAGTACAACTACTTTTACTCTCGGTTTGGCTATACTATTGATTTCACAGTATGTTCTTCGTTCACTTTATACGCAGATGTGAATTAGAAGCACTCTTTTTGATTAATTGAGGCTTCTTAAAAAAACTTTTTATACTAAACTTTGATTGGAGAAGACCCTTTCGTCAATACGATTTCCCAAATAATCGCTATAGACTTGATCAGTCTCGACTGTCTATCAAGTATTTGAGTGACAAACAATCACTTTCTCACACATTTCAGATCCTTGGAATACCTTTATCTCACCCAGACGACCTTAGTTCATTTGATTACGAGCTCCATAAGAATGCAGTGACTTGGTTACAGGAGAACTGTGTGAACGAACTGGACTTGTCATTTAATGTGGATGCTCTGAATCCGTGGAACTCTAAACCAGTCACAATTGAGCTTAGTGATGACTGTGATAAGAAGCTCACAGATGACAATAAGGTACCAGGTGAAACTTAGGATTCAAGCGCAGAAGCTTTGTTACCACTTTAGCTTGAAATAAATTCTTTTGTGACCAATGCTTATTCAATTAGGCTCTTCTCCCAGCATTCATTACTCGTCTGTCTCTTAGGAAGAATACAGCAAATCTGTCTCACAATTCAAACTGGAAAAATCGATTAAAGATGAAGTGGGTGAATTCACAGGGGGACTTCATGAGGTAAGTTGTGTTCAAATGATAATGTGTTCATTTGACAGAGATGACATTCATTTACAAGTAACTACACGGGAACACAGGGCAAATAGCAATAAATCGCTTGCCATTTTTTAATGCATTCTACACCAAATCAACTCAGAAGGTACTGAACACGTACTCTCCTTTCAGGTTATTCCACGAGAATTCCTTTCGCTGTTCACAGCTGACGAATTTTCGCTGTTGATTAACGGAGTGGCCAAGCTTGATGTGGGAGACTGGAAGAAGCATACCGAGGTGAACTATCGCACTTGATATTTATAGCTATTCAATTGAATGAAAAAAGAAAGGATGGGAAAAACAAGGTTTTGTTTTGAATCTGAAGGGAAAGTTAGTCGTTACCGATTTTTTTTAATACAAACAAACCAACAAACAAGCTACAACATAACTAAACAAAATGTCTTCATAATGTTATAAATGAATGATCCTACATTTCATCCTTTGTCGTCTTTAGTATAAGCAGTGCACGGCAGAAGACGACGTTATAAAATGGTTTTGGAACATTGTGACACCGCTAAAAGAAGAAGAAAAAGCTCTGCTGATGAAATTTTCCACTGGATCACCTTGCGTTCCCCTTGGAGGTTTTGCTGCCCTAACGGTAAACATCTTAACATGATATTCATTCGACTGTTTTGAGTTGGCTTTGTCACGCTTTTTCGTTTTGCCTTGTAATTATTGCGCAAGCGATGCTGTACTTCTGATCCACGCTCTTCGTATGACAGAGACTGAAACTGTGGCTAATTAGTGTGTAATGGTGGGGGACTTGGTAGAAGTGGGTTTAAAATCCAAATATACTGAACTGTTAAAGTTAAACCACTTAACCTCCGGAAAATGAAAGCTGCTTTGCTTGGACGTGTATTAGTTTATCGCTGTTCTTTTATTCTAAACGTTGATAATCCCTGTTGGTCCTTGGAACTTTTAAATATTTTGAAACAAATTTAAGTCAACGAAGGTTGATTTTTTTGGAAAACTTTTACCCACTATTAAATCTTAAATCGCATCCAAAGAGGAGAAAAAAATTCTAATTTGTCGTCATATCTAATGTAAATTACTGATTTGTTCATTCTGAACTTCGTAACCTCCCGCAAGTGCTATGCTATTTCTACACTCCAGAACCCTGGCAGGCCAGTTGAATGCCATGTTGATGGAGTGCGATGGCTTTAGTGGACCCAGTCATTGTTTGATCATGCTTTATTGTGTCGTGGCTTTATTCAGCTGTCTCTACGTTGTTTTGAAGTGTATCAATTCCATTTTAAAATGAAGTCTTCTTTTATGCACCAGGGTTTGTCAGGTCCTACAAAATTTACGATTTCGAAGATTGCAGGACTCAATAAAGTAAGTTTAACAACATTGCACTGAAGTTTCCGGGTTCAAAATCAATCCTTTTAAGGTATTGGTCACGTTTGCAGGTACCTTCTGGGGCTTTTTTATGAGTGATTTCTACCTGTAAATTATATACGAAATTGAGTTTTAACCATAAAGTCATGTACTAGTGTCGAGTTCTCATCCCGCTCTTTTTCCTTTTGTCCATTTGGTAGATTCCTATGGCATCCACGTGTTTTAACATGCTGAAACTGACCAGCTACAGTTCTGAGAAACACCTCAAGGATAAACTGTTGATTGCGATAAGGCACGGCGCAGAGGGGTTTTCATTTTCGTGAGGCACAGATCCCGCTGTGCTGTACCGCTGTTATCGCAGTAGTGTCAGTAGTTTTTTTTTTCTTGCTCGTACAGCTCGAGACGAATGATTAATGTTTTCACGTGCTTCAGATCCGATCTTACAAATCATGATCACCAAAGCATCGCATATGCGACCTTTTATCTTTTTACCTTTTCTGTAGCAATGAATAAGAAAAAGTGCATCTATATTGTCATCTATTGAGTGAAGTACATAATCGAAAAGTATTATCGTAATATAAAATTATAATTAGTATTATAATAAAAAAAAACTGGGGAACAATCGAGTACAGGATCTAAAATTTTAAAGAATAATAAATATATTTACATATATATATATATATATATATATATATATATATATATATATATATTTATATAGGTGTGTGAGTGTGCGCGGCGAGTTTCTTAAAAACAAACTCTTCGAATCGATCTCTATATAATATCTTTAAGGGGGGGGGACTTAATCAAACCGTTGATAGTGATGATGATGGCTTAAGTACGTTTATTTCGATAATACCACTGCTATAACAGACATGATAATAACATTAATCGTGTGGTGTGTTGGTAGACAACACACTGAGAAGTCCGGGATATCCTAGCAACCACCCAAAAAATGTGGATTGTGAATATTCTGTTTCTATTCCAAACGGAGGGCCAATGGGAATATATTTCGAAGACTTTGATGTTGAGGGCAGTTTTCTTTCACACGAGTGAAACAACTTTTCTTTTGCATACCAGTCTGAGAGCTTTCTTTGTCTGTACGTAAGCAGTTCAGCGGAGGCGGCAAATCTTGTCCAAACTAATTGTTTTAAGAAAAACTCGTTCCTTACATTGGTATTCTGGTCAAAATGGTGTGACGAAATTTCTGAAGTTTTAATTTCAAACCTTAACAACGTTCCGTTCTTGCAACGTCAGCCTCCCGGCCTCGCATATTATTTATTCATTTATTTATTTATTCATCAATTCATCTAGACATCTATCTACTGATTTGTTCATTTTTTTTTTATTTCAAGTTATATCAGTCAGCTTTGAGTTGCAAGGTTTTGCATAACAGCATCTCTCCTTTCTTTTTTTTCTTTTTTTTATTTAATTCACAGGTAAGTAGGCTCTGTGTACCATCAAGTACTTTGTTTACCAGTTAGACATAATTTAATCGCAATAAAATCACCAGGATTTGACTTATTCCTCATCTTTAACAAACACCAGCTACATGCTGGATATGATAAAACAGTTTAAATTATGGAGTTCAAGGTTTTTATTCAGAAAATTTGATATTCAGGGTAGAAGAATCATATCAATATCAGGAAATCTGGTAAAGATAAATTGCCTTCCTAAAGCTTTTAAAACAAAGTCTAAGTTCATGCAAATTACATTTCAATTCCCTTTGGTAATGACGCACTTGGGCAGAAAAGTGTCACTTCGTATCATCATTGATAAGACATCCATCTTCGTTTGCGACCGAAATAGAATGTTCAGTTTAATTCTAACCGATGAATCAGTCTTCATTGATATTCCTTTATTCCAGTGTTTTGAGTTTTTTGTTGTGAAAACAGCATTTATTTTTGACGCAGAGCGACAAGTAGAGAGAAAAAACATTAACAAGAACAGCACCGCAAAGATATCTTTTTGAAATATTTAATGGCGTTTCGGTTCTCATAGTGACTTTTATTGCTCTTCTGTCATCAACCACTCAAGCACGTCGTTGCAACTGTTATGCAAAGTAGCTGTGATGTAACCTTTATCAGCTAAACAATTCAAAAATTTCAAAAAAAAAAAAAAAGACAAAAAAAATTATCCAGCGTGATACGCATGCTTTTTCACTCCTTCGAAAAGTTCCGGTTTGGAAATGACGGCGAGAAAACTCGCTAGTCGGGTCCCTAAACTATTGGACTAACAACGAAAGACAGGTTGCTACACAAGTTGCTTGAATTTGGAAAAACAACATTCATTACAAGCGTAATATTTGAATTTCAATCACTGATCCAGCCCTTGGTAAGAACCGCTGATTGCTCCTGGCAGATTAATGACATGCATATGTGTGTTTTAGAGAAAGAGCCGTCGATATTTCGTGGTGAAATTTGCTGCCTACAACGGAGTTTCGTCCTTAAAGCGAAGTGATGTTCTCCTCGCCTAAACTCTTACGATGAGAGCCCTTCTTTTATGTGTTATTTCGTCCATATATTTGAACACTTACAATTCTGTTTACGGGGTCGAGACTACATCAAATCCATCTTCCACATCAAGCGAGCAGTTCACAGGTAGAGTTGAATTTTTTCCCATCTGTAATTACGTAGTATGTTACACTTAATGTTTTTTTCATCCTAAAGAATATGTTTTAAATTTTGCAGTATGAACGAGAATTTTTAGTCATAAACTGGCGCTGTTCTCATGAATATTCTAAAGGAAGTGGTTCAAGTATTCGCCCTTTCTTCAGGCAATAACGGTCACTTTTAGAATTTCTCTTTAATTTTAAGAAATACTCTGAAACTCTCTTCGTATTCTGAAAGGAAAAGATTGCTGTCAACTTTGTTTACAAAGGGCGAGTGTGAGCAATGAATACTCCTGTGACCGGAATATGTGGTGAAAATGCCAGAAGCTAATGTTTACTTGTCGAGCGTTTAAATTTTCCGCAATCTTGAAATTTCGCCTGTGTCTCTGATGTTTTTGCCTCCGGTGGTCATAATTAAACGCCTCCGTATTGCCTCGCAAACGCAAGGAGTTGATCTTCAACGAAACAATGCAAATTTTCAGCTTTTGTTTGAAAAGTTCCGGGATCGTAAAGACAAAAGATTGGTTGACAACAATGAAATAAAGCTGTTGACAAAAAACTACAAAAAGTTGAAGAAACAAGCTTAATGAACCATAGACTTTGACAAGGGAAACCCTTTTACGTTCATTTTGTCTAAAGAACTTAAAATCTGAAATTAAATCAAAATTACAAAAACCCGATGGTTTATATTACTGCACGCAACCCCTCGTCCATTTTTCAAATCAGATAACATGTTACGAGGAGATTACAATTATTCATTTTAAGGCCGCTTTATCACGACCGACTTGGCTGGCTGTATAATTAAGAATTTGTCGAGAGAAGACAAAAACCCGTGTCAACCAATAACAAGTCTTGGAGGGGCTTATTCTTATCGCAGTCGACATGTCTCTGAACCGGTTCATGCTGAATGTGTCATAACGCAGGCTTCCAATCTTTTGCCTGGTTTCCCTTGTCTTCGCTATGAAAATACCGGCAGGTAAAAATGTTTTCTGATTTTGTTCAATGTCATTCGTAATATCTGTCCTCATACTCAATTTCGAATTTTCCTTCACCTGCCACAGCGTCTCATATGTATATTTTCATCCTTAACTTTTAATTTATTTCGTGTTTGTATCATTCAAATCAATACGGCAAGCTAAAAGTTCGTAAACGTGCGCAAAAACATCATTTTAAACATGTATTTGCAAAGATAATTTAAAACTGTGTACATATGAAATTGGATCAAGAAACTTCCTCTTTCAAAATTCGCTACTAAATTTTCTTTTTGGCTGTAGCTGTACATTTATTATATCTTTTCCTTTTAATTTTTTCCCTTAAAGGAAAGCACTTCAACTTTCTACTTTTTTTTAAATTTATTTAAACGCCGTTCGGAAGTTTTTTAATACAATTAAATTAACCCAATGTAAGATGTGTCTCCTATTCAGGGAAAGCAAGTTAAATATTCTACGTTCTCCTTTAATTTGCATCGCCAATTTTGTCCGTTTTGCACCTTTTATCTATCACCATCTCCATTTATCTCTTTCCTTGTTGCATGCGGCAACATCTTAAGCTTAGCAACAATCGGTCAATTTTTCTTTAATGCAGTCTCTTACGAATAGAAGTTAGGAAGCAGATATTTCTTTGGTAACCAACCTTTGGTTAAAGACAAAATTAAAAACGGAAATCTTAGTGACTGTCACACGCAATATCTAAAGGTGTGCCCACCCAAATGAATATGATAAATTTTTATGAAAACCGACTTTCGATTCATAAATCCAGAATTATTCTTTTCAAATTCTAGATCTGAAACGCATGTTCGCGATTTAACCAAATTTCAAATTACAAAGTACGTGCATGCTCTGACTAATGTGATAAATTCTATAAAAGCTTCATATCCGAGATAATGTCAAAACACTCTGGGCGTATTTGTATACCAAAACTTGTGTCAGCCGTCATAAAAATTTTTTTCTTTATTTTTCTTTTTCTGTGAAGCGATCATTATCGCAGTTGAATAAAACTCGACTGGAAAATGAGGCCCTTTTTAAATATTTAAAAATTTGGCTAATTTTCCTTTATTTGTCGCTTGCTAGGAAGTTGAAAATCGCAATAAACGGTCTTTCCTGTTAAATTTGCATTTTATGATTGCTTTTCAGTTCCGAAACCAGCGATCATATTTTTGGGATTTCTCGGAGTATGCCTCGTAGTTGTGTTTATCTTGTACAAGATTCTCCACTCTGATATTTGTAAACTCGATCGTAATAAATTGGCCGGTGTAAGTCAAGCTGAATATGCAGAACTTGGAAAATCTGCCGCATTTGAGGAAGAATCCCACGACGAATCAGATAGTGTGGATTACATTGAACAAGAAACTACTGCAAGCGATAGGAGTGATGACCGTCCAATGCATAGACCTGCGCCATACGTCAAGAGCAGGAGCCTGGGTGACCTGTTCGCTGAGAAACCAAGTCAGCCTACTGCGCCTCAGAGGAAGTTCACTCAATGGGAGAGACCGTCTATAGAAGCTGTCAAAGCTGCAAGCCATTTGAATGTCCTCTCTGCTTACGGAGATACAGGCGGTAGTCAGCGCGTTCGGAAGAAGTCGCGCAAGGAATCACGAGGGGATATTACTTGTGTAGCAAAACTACAAGTTTCTGTCGCATTTGCGCAGACGGCCCAGAGATTAGAAGTGACCATCATCCGAGTGCAAGACTTCCCCGAGGCATTTTCCGCGAATAGCGCTACTTCGGCAATGTCAATCCATCTGACCCTGATGCCGTCGAAGCGATATCGATTTAAAACGAAGACGAAGGCAACTTCCGATGTCACAATTAATGAGACATTTGTCATGCGAGGCGTAAGTGCCAACGAATTAATGGACAGCAGTTTACGCTTCCGAATTTACGCGCAGGGTTCAATGAAGACGGGCAGGCTACTGGGAGAAACACAAACCCACGTAACAGACTTCGACTTGGATGATATAGCCTCAACTATGTGGATTATGGTACCACCAGCTGAGGAACAGAAAAAATCGTCTTCTAAACAAAGAAAGTAATACATTGACGTCACATGCATTGGATAAATAGTCGCGCGTAAGTGTTTTAGTTGATTAGTCTTTCACCTGTCATCTTTTAGTCTTCACCAGCTGCAGGTTCTTAGAGCGGAGGCGAGTAACCTCTTAAATTAAGTACAAATCAATGGAGACTTGGGTCTCCCAGAGCTGAGAACAACTTGAGCCTTTTGAGAACAGTAGACGGGGAGGCCAATTATATCTCACAACATGATAGAAATCTGTTTTCACTTTACAAAAGGACACATCCTGAATTCTTAAACATCTTCTGCTGGCAAGAATTAGCCTTAAGTTTGTATCACCCTTCCTGAGGAACCATAAATCGGCCTCTCTATTCTTCAATGACGTCATAAATTAATTGCCCACTGTAGTCGTTCCAAAGGTAAAAAGAAACGGGAAACGTTACACTGGTTGGTAATCGATCAAAAGGAAATTTTCGAGTGTTTTTAAATGAAAAAAAAAAAAGTCAAAATTTTTTGTCGTTCCAGTTTAAACGTAGAACTCAATCGACAAAGTAGGACTTCAGGCTTCACTAGACCATGACATTTAAAGCGTGCGGTTTGATGACGTATGCCGAGGAAAGTTTCCTTGTTTGAAATATGATGACGTCATGTCTTTTTTCACGATCATTTTTTTATTTCTCTGTTGAAAAAGCCAGAGTCTTCTCAAAAGACCGCCTTTACCTTTGATTTGTGAAAAATGTCGTCACCATTGCTAATTAATGTAAATAATGTAAATGGCAGAGGTTGTACTCTATTGAGCATAAGGAAAGGCTGCCTCGGAGGTAGTGGTGCCTTACCTACAATCGAGAAGGGTTACCCTATCAGCATAATAAGTTATATTTTGTCATGGAAATCTGCGCAGTTGAGGTTGCCCCTTTACACTCTATCATCGGGATCTATATTCTATTCACTCTTCTCTTTACATTTCCATTGGTACTGACAAGGAGAATTTGTTTATCAATCAAAGCTTCTTAAGTTGGTGATCATTTCCTTTATTCTCGTGATCTTAATAAATGATTTAGCAATATTATTGTAAGGAGAAATTAGACTCTGGTCACTCTTACGGTTTTAAGGATTAACTCACCAAGTAGGACCAAGCTTAGCGCCCTTGGTTTGCAACGAAAAAGCGTGCGTTCTCCTTTTCACTTCCAAAATTCTAACAAAGCAACGTTCGGAAACTATCGCGCAGTCGATAAACACTCATAACCCAAGAAAATGAAAGAAAGAGATATCGCTATGACGGTCATCTCGTTTCCTTAAGCAATGTTTCTGTCTGTGAAACGTGTATTGGTTCACCCTTTGTCCCCAAATAGGGGCTTTAAAATTTATTTCAAGCCGAGAAGACCCCGGCTCTGAACATCTCAGTAGTTGTCATTTAAATGTTTATCATAATTACTCTCGATTAATTATTTATCCTTTACACGGCATAATTTTTGAAAGTATATTTTTTGGAAAAAATGCACCTCGAGTTGTATGGTTCTTAAGATTCAGCTCTTTAAGTTAGAGATCATCTTACTTGTTCTGTGTAACTTATAAGAAGCTGTACCTTGCACTTCTGTTTGTATTTATAGTCTTTAGTGATATCTATCGCTTTTTAAGGGCTTTCCAAACATTTACATATTAATCAAGTAAATAACTACAACGACCAGGAACTTTAAAAATTAACAGGGAAATACTCAATTTTGTCCGATATCTTAAAGGTGTGCAAGAGTAAATTCTAGATTTTACTTCACACTCTGATCTCCGAAAAAAAAAGGAATATTATTTTTATATATTTAAGATATAGAACATTTATTATTTTCGGTAGCTGGAATTCCACTAACTTGCAACCACTTTGGAAAAGAATTACATTGACATCCCTATTTGACATTTGATTGTAAGTTATGTATCGAAAAAATTGTATAATCCTTTCACTCCCAAGATCTCATCAGAAATTCTCCTTGATGTCTGCCACAAAATTCTTATGTCACTTCGGAGTATTTGGTATTGGATCAATTAAGAATCTCCTAATTGATAGTTTTCTTTATTCTCGTCACTTTTTTGCTTGATATTGCAATGTTTTTGTATTTTTATTGTAAGAAGAATTTTCTTTCTTGGTTGCTCATGGGAGTTAAAGGGTTTACAAATGCTTACGATTTGCAGTCGTTGCTGTATCATGTTACAATAAATGCACAATAGCAGAGGAATGTGATTATTTCCTCATTGAAAAAAACTTCTGTTCATGTATTGAAGAATAAAAGAAAGTTTATTGCAGAAAGGGCATTGTTTGATCGCTCCTCTTGATACTTGAAATAGCTTCATTTCATAGAATCTCTCAGTTTGCACGTGTTGCGATTGATCAATTTAAGGCTTTTTTTGTCCTTAAACCAAGTGTGCGATAAAAACAAAACACGATATAAATTTTGTTTAAGCGACATGGTATGGTATTGTGTAATAACTCTGCAATGGTAATTCGGATAATTTAACAATGGAACTATAAACTTTGCCATAAAATATAAACGAAGAGCATCGGAGCACGGAGTCCGAAGGTCTGAGGTTCGATTCCTCGTGGAATTTTCTTTGTGCCAAGCTCGTGACTAGAGGAAAAACATCTTTCTCTATTTCTTTACCCAGCTCAAATCTTGCTGTCCTTCATATTCTATTTACAAACTTTCCTATAAGAAATTTAATTCAAAAAGTCACCTTTAGCAACAACACATGTACATGTAAATTAAACTTTTCTGCTGATTGTCGACTTGATGTTAAGATTCACCCAGAGTTCTGGAGAGTTTCAACTCTCACGTGTCAAACACGGGACTCGGTCCCAGACTGGCGTGCCGAACTTGTGCCTTAATCAGGCGATGGTATACATTTAAGTCTATCAAAAGCAGCTTTCTCTAACCACTCTCTGTGATCAGGATGAGCGATCTTAATCAGTTCATAAGCTCTTTGCCTAAGGCTCTTCCCAAACAGGTAAGCGATTCCATATTCAGTCACGATGTAATGCACATGCGCACGAGTTGTCACAACGCCTCCACCTGTACAAAATGAAAAGAACGAAGTAACTCTGGTAACTGGCTCAATAAATATATAATAAAATAAATAATTAATAATGAAATAACTAAAAGCATTGAAATTTGCCTCCATTCTTTGATAGCCGTGATGAGGAATTTGACTCAACGAGGAGGAAAGTGGAGGAAATATTTTGGAGTGCTTTTAAAAACACTGACACAACTTCCTTAAGCAATGTTTGTGAAATAATTGCAGCCTTCTGACACACATACCCAAGGCTGCAATGGACCGTTTATGTTGCCGGGTTTGTTGCAGTGCATAGGTAAAAAATTCAAAAGGTGCGTTTTAGCAACGTAAAAGGAAACTCTTCTTAAGTTGCCTCAAGTTTTCCTCAAATCCTTTTGACGTTGTAAGTTCAAGGAGGTTAAGTAAAAACCCGTGCTAATTCAAACTATGCCCAAATAAAATACCCAACGTATTGTCCATAACGCTAAGTTTGCGCTTAATGCCGGAGGTCAATAACTGTGAAAATACGGCAAAGTCTAGTAACCATCCTGCACCCGTTCGACTTACCTTCCTTCAAGAAAGGAACAATCTTTGACTCTCCTTTCTTGGTAACAGAATTTAGGGCCAGGATTGGTTTACCACATCCGTCAAGTGCTAAAGCTGCTCCACGTAAAAAGTCTATTTGGCCTCCGACACCTGAAAAGATGCTAAATGTTGTAAGGTTACTCAAAAATGCCGAAGGGATTCGTAAACTAATCAAAACCCACGAACAAAATCAATCCAATCACGCACAAAGAGTGTACATGGTTTTATTTATTATTACATGTATTTTTTACTAGAATGGAGTGGCGCTTTGTAATATGCAATATGGCGTGTCTTCATGTTACTCAATCACAACCAAACAGCAAACAAACAAACAAAACTACAAATTACAGCATAACAACAAGTAGGGTTTGGTCACAGAGATCTCACTCCCTCTCCTCACATATTTTATGTAGATTACCTGAATACATTCGTGTTCCAATAGAGTCTGAAACAATTTGTCCAGTGAGATCCACTTCAATACATGAGTTAATAGCTGTCACTTTAGGATTTTGAGCAATTACTGACACCAAATTGACAAATCCAACATCCAACATCACTTTTAAGAGGACAAAAATTAACAGTGAAAACATGATTAAAATGAGGACAAAGATAATTTTGCATCAAACATTATGATAATTAATGGTATAACAAAGTAAATATATATTTTTTGCAGTGAATACTCTTTACACGGGGGATAAACTGTATATCAAGTTATAGATATTGCAAAAAGAATGTACGGTAACATTTTCCATAAAATCACTGATCTCATTGAAAGGGTGTATGGAAGTATCTAAACCTTAATAAAAATAGCTTCAGATAGTTTGTTTGATCCTCCTTTCAAAGTGTCTTATATTCCCATACTAGATACAAAAAGAAGTTAATGATGCATCTAAAGGTAAGCCTCAAAGGGCTTGGTCTTATTAGCCAGTACAAGTCTGACAAAAATTCATCTTTCTCTGTTTTGCAAACAACAAGAATTTATTGGCTATGGGAAAATTGTGAGGTAGTTATTTAAGGAAATGTATCCACATCATCAACTGAACTTCCAGAAACTTCAAAATCCACAAGTTATTTATCAACAAATCATCAACTCACCTACAAAAGGGTTATTGTCAATGAATTCAAACACTTTCTTTGTTCCAATCACAAAACTTCCCACACATCGGCCAGGTAACACTTTTTTAAAAGCATTAGTGATGGCTCCCCTTTCAGTTAGAGCTACTACACCATCACTGAACATCTCCGAGTGGATGCCAAGGTCTTTATGATCCATCAATCGACTCAAGCAGGCATCTGGTATGGAACCAATTCCTGTTGGGTTGTCAAATAGAAAACAAAACACTACAAGTTAACCTTTTACACCCTAACAATGGTATTCATATTCTCCTCACTGCTCTCTTTACATTTCCTATGGTATTGAAAAGGAGAATTTGTTTGACAATCAGGAGCTTCTTAAATTAGTAATCACTTTGTTTACTCTCATGGGCATTACATTTAATTCAAGGGTGATCCTGTAGGGAGTAATTCGACACCAGTCAAACTTATGGGCTATAAGCAATTAATGGAAAGATCCAGATGAATTTTCAGGCCCTAAGATTTATGATTAGTTAAATTAACCCTTCAATTGCCAAGATCTGATGGTTAAATCTCCCTTCTAGTAGCTGCTTATTTCCTTGTAAATCGGTTACAAGAATTTGGTGTTGATCAAGATAATATCTGTATCTTCTAATTGATATGTTTGGAGTTTTCTCATTACCTGTTTGCTGGATAAAGTTATGTTTACCACTTCTGGGAGTTAAAGGGTAAATGTATCCACTGGCTTAACAAGCAGGTCCCATGCAGGTAATTAGTCAGTGAGTTACAAGTGAATAGTTTCTCCACTGACCCATTTGAAGAGTGGCACCATCCTCCACAAGGTTGTCAGCAATTAACTGACCAATTTTGGCTTCCTCTGAAGTCTCTGGATTAATCTTCAGTTCTGGGAGATTAAACTCTGAGACACACAGCACATCAAGATGGGATTGGTGGATGCCTCCTGGGCCATGAGTGCGAGGACACTGTGGGTTCACAAGCCCTACAATGTGTCAATGAGAATAATTCATGTCAGAGAA